AGATCAATTAATTTGTGAAACGAATTGTAAAGAAGTGACATTACTGGTCAATACAAGGTGCTGAAAAAAGCTCAATGATTTAAACTGTTCTGTAATATTTTGATTACAACTCAGTCAAGATTTTCAGCCAACTGCACTAGCAACACTCAAACCGCTAAGTTTACACTTAAAAGCTGCCTTCAAGTGTAAAATTTGCAGTTTAACTTTATGTTTAAGTTTGAGCAATCATTTATATTGCTTGAAGTGGTCCAAGAGTTGACTACATCAAACTTACAGGAAGTTGTACAGTACAATGAAAATACAAAATTGGAATTCGAGCTTGCACTGCGCTTTGGAGGGCTACTCTAAAACTCTATTTATGTAGTTTCGGCTCCATCTGTCTCTGACACTCATGCTAGAATCTTGCTTTGCGTGAGAGAGATGGCAACATTCGAAACTTCGGATAACGTTGTCGGAGTAACCCCGCTGAAGTTGCTTGGTAAACGACAATATTGTATGGAACATTGCATTCCGAGTATTTTTAATGATGTTGACTCTCCTGAATAAATAAAGGACCGAGAAAGGATTATTCCGGAAAGTTTTGTTCTAGAAGCAAATTTCTGCATTGTCGCTGAAAGTAATTATTGGTACTTTATTCTGTTTAAATTCCATCATTCTAAACATAGCAAATTCTTTCTTCAACTAAAATTACCTAGTTTTAATTAGGTTTTGCGTTGACTTTTCTTTACTCCTACCAACCCATGTGTGGTCAGTTGGCGTTGGAATTTTTTGGTCTTATTTGTCCAGTTTCTCCTTAGGTTTCTCAGTAGGTTTATTAATTTTCCACCACGAAATAAACAATAAACGAAAGGATTTCATAGTTTCGCAATAAAACTGCAAACCGCCTCAAAAATCACGTTAAATTAAAAAGTAACAGGCGTGTGGGCGCGAAATCCCGCGGATGTGAAATTGGACTCCCTGAATTTCGAGATTGTTTCAGTTTCAGCAAATGGCTTTGGCGCAAAATCCTGGCGTTGTATGTAGGCTGACTGTGTGCCATGCGAATTCCTTTTTTCTACGATTTTTATTCGTTCCGGTAAGCCACTGTTTTGCGGGTTTTGCGTTCAACACAAACAAGCTAACTTTAGATAACAAAGCAAAATTTCCAATGCATCAAATACTGACATTTCTCTCCCATTGATAACACCTTATCATCATTATTAATCATCATGGGCAATTAGACTCCACTGTTGCACGACTCTGCACGACCAGAGGGTCTCTAGCTTACCATACTCGTATATGGAGCATTTGGCCACTCTTCACGCTAGCCAGAAGGGTTGGAGAGGCCTGAGGTGGAATTGTGTAAAGCAATCTTAATCATTTGACAGTTCATAAGGGGGCGTCCATTAATTACGTGAGACTTTTAGGGGGGGGAGGGGGTCCAGAAAAACCTTACTTAATCTCACGTGGGGGATAGGGGGGGGGTCGAGAAATATCACGTAATTTTTTTCCACAACAAACAGACCTTTGTGAACACAGGCCCAGTTATTAGATCCGCAGTTTGCTACCAATGCTTAAATATTAACAAAATGTAAACTAATAGTTAAAAATTGTACTAAAAGTTAATTTTTTGTTTTATAAAATCGAATATTTTCGAAGCATGGATTGTCTCATTAACATTGCAAATAGGCATTTTAGAAAATCTCACGTGAGATTAGGGGGTGGGGGAGGGGGTCTTGCAAAATCTCATGAAATCTCACCAAGGGGGGCGGGGTGGTTAAAAAATAGCCAAAATTGTCTCACGTAATTAATGGACGCCCCCTAACGTACGATAAAGTCAGTTAAACAAAGCGGTTGACAGAATAATCGTACGTTATGAACTGTCAAATGATTACGATTGCTTTACACAATTCCACCTCAGATGTTCTTATTATATTTTTCGTATAGTACCTTTTATGACATCCGGGCTAAAAACACCTAGATTTATTATGTACCAGAAGTTCTATAGTAAGTAAATAAACTAGAGAAGCATAGGTAATATACCATCCAAGTAGTGCACAAATATTCCAAGAATGTTGAACATGGTACGAGTATTACATAACATAAACGCGTTTCTTATGTATTTCATGAGTGTAACACCAAACCGACATTGTCTAATAATTTAGCCAATTGATCGATCGGAGCGCAAGTCACTGTGACGCTTGGTCTAGGGCTGCCACTTGCAAGTTATGAAATCCGTATTTATAAAAAAATGCAAAATACAAACAAATATGAGCTGAAGGTCAGTACAGTTACAGATGCAGGTCAACTGGCACTAAATTTCTAGCTACTCACTTTAATTACTTGATGCAAACTAGTTCTCAAATGTACAACGTTTTGTACATTACCATAACGGTTCCGTTTGTGATTCCAAATGTATCCGTCACGGAATGAGGCTATTAAATCTCCTAATTATTGTAATTAGTAAACTATACGTTCTTGTGGTACGCATTTCCTCTAGAGTGATAAGTGAGTTGCTAATGCCCGGCGTCCATTTTGCAATATGCATTGATAAACCCAAAACAATACTTTAAAAGCTCCAATAAACTATCGCTGTGGGCACTGACACTACGCACGCACGCAACTTATTTGTTTTTCGTTTTCTAAAACAATTAATATTTTATAGGCCGCTGATTGAGAAGCAATTAGCTTAAACATGAACCTATCATTCAAGTAATTAATATTGTATTTAAAATGAATGATTGTTTTTCAAATTCATTAATCTTTCATTTAGAAACTAATCTTAAATATTTATTGATGATTTTCAGTCTACCTCGGCTCATTTCTATTTAATCGCTAGTTTTCTTTAACCTGTAATTTTGTTGATAGAATCAATCTACTCTAGCACCGTAAATTGATCTCGACTTTCCTGAAGAACGCTTCGTTCAAAGCTGTCTACAAACTTTTCAATCAAGTGCCCTATAATTAAAATGGTTGCAGATTTAAATAAAATAACATTATCAGAAGCTATTTTTGATCAAATTTACGGTTTCAATGTATTCGTCTAATTGATATTTTATTAGTTTCCTAACGCTTTAATTAACAGTAAAATAGGTGTAAACAGCAATTAAATACTAAATGAATATGATGAAATATTACATATACGAGTAAAACTCTGTCGGTTAATTAATAAATAATTGCGTGTCAATTTGACGATTAATAAATAAAAATAGGTAACAAAATTATAACATTTTAGTAAAAAAATGATATCTATCTTACAGGGCAGATATGTACTCAAGTAACATCAAGTGCGAAGTTGCCTTGTTCTGTATGTAGAAAAAATAATTTTAATTTTATCTTTCTCAAAAATGCAACTCAAAAAAACTGTTTTTATTTGAGTTCCAGCCCTAATATCGGTGCGCTCATACATCAAGCGTGAACAGCCGGACGATTGTATGGCGAGCGTTGGCGCGACCAATCGCACGCCCTGACACCACGCCAATCCGCCAACAAATAAAAAAGCGTGGGTTTTATTGGAAACTAGCTTTTGCCCGCGGCTTCGCTCGCGTTAAAAAGTATTCCGATCAGTTTAAAATTGACAAAGTTTCATACAAACTTTCATCCCCTATTTTATCTCCTTGGGGGTAGAATTGATCAAAATCCTTTCTTTGAGGATGCCTATGTCTTAACATCTACCTGCATGCCAAATTTCAGCCCAATCCGTCCGTCCGTCCGGCCTGTGCGGCGTTGATAGATCACTATATCAGTCAGTCACCATTGAGATAGGTACTCGATATTGGGACAGTCTTTTCCCATCACATTTCCAACTTTCCTCGTTTTCGTAGGAAAATCGTTTATCCTTCTGTGTTGACCTTATTTACCAAACAAAGAATGAAGTTATTGAATGGTCCGTTCAATAAGCTAGTTGAACTATTAATTATTTAAAACTCTTTTCAAATGTCACTTATCAGCAATCAGCATAATAATATGAATATAATCAGTAAAATTAATCGTCCCCTTTTATTAATTTCTAAGTATTTTTCATTACCCTTGGTGGCGCAAGCCATCAAGTAATTAAGTATTATCTATACAAACGACGTCATATTAAGCTATACACTATGTATAACATCCTAACATTCTTTAATATGCTATGTACTTTCAATAGGTGATTTTACTACAAATTGTAAAATCTGATGTGCTAGCTGACTAATCAGTAGAATCATTTTCCCGCTATATCTTTTTCAGAGGTTCGAGTATGCCTTTTGAACTAAAAATCTCTTATCTTGGACTATTATTCGTCGCACTAAGTATATGCACGTAGGTACATTTTAGCCTTTAAAACCTTGCCTTTAGCTGAGAAGGCAATAATCATAATCGTTCAAGCAATTTGATTTTGATTAATACTTCGAGTCGACCAATACTAAATTATAGCATTTCTAATTTAAACTTACTGGTTATTAAAATTATCCGAATTAGATCGTTATGCTTTAAAGTAATTATGTTCGTCATAATACCGGTGCAAGGTGATCGACTAAAGCGCATGGGGCCACTTCGTGCGTGCTGTGATTAATATTGATCGGTTTTATGATGTTAAAAATGTACCTAATTCATCTAAGAGATTTTTCATTAATGAGTAGTTTCGTTATTTAAGCCAGGGAGCGAACTTACTGGACTTAGTAGGACTAGGGCTGATTATGTGTTTAACAAAATATAACGGCTATTAGAGAAAACCTTGCGTTTTTTTTTACAAATTGACTGAAATAGTTACGCAAGAAACTCACACTATACCTAATCCGCACACAGTATATATCTAATAAGCACGAAATCGCACACACGAATTCGTCCTCAATACTTTATTACGCTACGTCACAACAAACAAATCTGTGATGCCGTGCGTACTCCAAACAGTCGTATCAGATAAGTTATCAAATCAAAACGATTGTGCAAACGAGATCAGTACTGATGCTGACGCACCGTTGAGCACGACCGGGCACTGCGAGCTTGTACCGAAGCCCTACCAACTAACCTCACCATAACACCAGCCCGCATTCAACGCAGCGACACCGCTATGAGTGAACGTCGGAGACTCACGTAACTATCGTTCGAGTGAATAGAGTGCGCGCAGTCGAGTGACGTGCAATGCCCAGGGCCCGAGCCCCCCTACCCCTCGCAGGGCTATGGAGACCCTCCTCGACAAGTTCAAGAGGGAGCAAGGAGGGCTGCGACGCTCCCGGTCGGTCCGCGCCTCGCTGCGACTGATCGGCAACCGCTGGCGGACCACCAAGGACGAGGAACCTGCGGACGACATTGACAAGATAAAGCGGAACACCGTTGTCTTCGCCACACAGATCTGGAGTGACAAGGAGTACGACGCGTACAAAGGCCTCGACGGCACCTACAAGGCCACCACGCCAGCCATGGCCAGGAAAAAGCCGGAGGTGAAGCAGCGGAGGAAGAGCGGTGACATCGATCTGAATCTGAAGCCGCAGCGTCCGAAAAAAGTGGAAAAGTCAAAGTTCAGTGATTTGTTTACTAATAAGAAGCAGAAATCTAAGGAGTTTTTGGTGCCGGAGAAGATTCCGCCGAAAGCGGCCGCGCTTCTGCATATCCATAGTCCGGATAAGGGGAAGAAGAAGTTGAAGGGGATCGGGAAGTCGGAGTCGGCGAAATCTGTGACTGATATCGTGGGGCATAGACGGATTAGGAGGGGTTCGGAGGGGGACACGTGCCCCCACCAGCCGAGGGGGTGCGTGAACCCGGCCTTCGTGTACAGCACGCCGCCCAAGGAAAGGAAGTTGCCGATGTCCCCGTCAGCATACCTCAGTACGTATACCAAGTTATTCACACGCACCGCACGCATGCGCGTAAATACTTACACTACAACAATTACAGCTACAATTAAAATGGAATTATGGTTTCTTTGCATTGTGTAACCGTTTTTTTCACAGAATGTTTGATGAGTTTTTTATTACTACTACTATGAAGTTACATTTTGATTGCTATCCTGCCTACATACATTTTCATTACTTTGAAACTAGAGGTTCAATTTAACAAAAAAAAAGTATTTAAACAAACTAGAAACTACTAATACCAATATCCATATACCTAATGCCAAAAATTCAGAACATTATGCACACGAGTTTTACCTAAACAAATAATAAGTAGTATAAAACAAACTTCTCGAGTAAATAAAATTATCACACATCAAATTAGAAAACATCAAAAGATAAACGAATTGCACGACAGAAGCCAGTGCTGACAGGCTCAAGTGATCAAGTGTAGTTTTCTTCGATAAATTCATTCAGTTTTTTGCAAACAAAACAAAAGGTGTCATCATAAAAAATCATCAAAACCTCCGTGATTTAGTGTTTAGGTCTCTTCATTTGGAAGTCCTAGGTTCGATTACCGGATAGTATCCGAAACCGGAAAAACCACTGTCTAATTCGAGTTTCTTTATAACATCACTGCACCGTGTTTAAAATAAAGAAATGTGATATCATGCTTTACACAGCTACCCTTGGTTGTACTGTGGTTGTACCTACTAGATACCCACTGAAAATCAGTGTCTTGGCAGTAACAAACATGTCAAGAGAACGTCAAGAGATGATACAGTCCTCTCAACTTAAGCTGAGAATTGCATTTGTGTGAGTGATCGCCAAAAGTACCGTTAGTAAAACACATACAAATAAAAATATTTTTTTATTAAAAGGAAGTATATAAAACACTTGCTACCAATTGGGCCGATGTAACGACACTTGACACATCCTTTTAAATAAATAAAAACAGGTCCTCGCTCAGCATATGCCAAGGCACGAAGTACCTCGACGCTGATATTCTGCGAGCACCGTTTATAGAGAGGGCGTCCAGCCAGCCTTACAAAATACAACAAAAAGACAAACTTTATAAAATTACAAAATAAAAACAGACTAAAAACTTTTCGTTCACACCTTTAAAATACGTATTCAATTTGCATAAAATTTCTTTCACTTGGCTGCTTAATGGATTTCGTACAGGAAATTCACTTACAGTAGGAGCCATTTCACTAATATTTGGAACACAATTACATAAAATTACACGTATCTGCTACCAGTACCGGGGGTGAAGTGAAGTATGTGAGCGACAAGGAAGCGGTGCGTGGCGGACGCGCCGCGCTTCAGGCCGCTTGCTATAATAAACCATGCGCGGGACGCGCCACGCTTCAAGCCGATTGCCACTCTAAACTATCGGTGTGCACTCACACAAATGCAATTCTCAGCTTAAGTTGAGAGGACTGTACTGAGTGAAAGAAAAATAAAAAAAGAAGGAAAGAGTGGGTGACCTTTTTGACAACATTTTTGTTTTTCTCTGTTGATGAATATGTTTGTGTTTTTTTAGTTGTCAAATAAAGATTTTTACTTTCTTTCTTCTTACTAGGTCAAACCGTAGAAGAACAACATCCAGGTATTTAATTTCTAACTCGTAGATGTTATTTACGAGATTCCTAATTTGTTATAATAAAAACACTATAACACACTATTCCGCCTCCATTTTTGCCATCTCATTGGCATAACATAACACCTTATGTAGATTAGCCTCCTTTCTATGGGTCACTATGATATGATTTACTATTTCTTGTTTTTATGGTTACATAAAGGTGGTCAAGCCAGCAGTTGTTTACTTTCAACAATGCAATATTCTACTGCGACATAAACTTTAAGAGACATGTTTAAACTGCTGCAACAATGCCCAATAGAAATATGTGCCTATAACGTTTCTATTTCATTTTTATGCTTTTCAAATAAAATACGTTCATTAGTTACTGTTCCTGTTACTACAGTTATTTTTCAACGTTGTCTATTGAATCAAAATTTTCAATAACTAATAGAAATAGATGAGTCTCAATTTGTCAAATTCATTATTAAAATGTTGATTGATAGATCGCCTTTATAGATTGATTCAAAGTTCTTGATCTTATTATCTTTTATCTACGATTCTACTTCCTAGAGGCAGGACATTGTTATTTCTAAACCAAACTCTTTGTACCTACCTATGACTAGTTGTCGCTTTCTTCTTTTAGGCCATAATATTTACTGCGAATAGGCTTTTAAAAGGCGTTTTTACTCTCTCTTTTTCTCCAATAGAGTTAACTATTTAACTTTGAAATCAAAGAGTCAACAAAGATAGTGATATTCGTAGATCTAAAGTACACACATTTGCGTCCTTAACACTGAAAATCACAGTGCTTTTATTAATATGATTCATTAAGAGATGTATTGTTTTATCAATCTCGTATCTGTCAACTACTTACCTATGAATCAACTTTCGTATCACTACAAATCAATCGAATTCGTCATTTGTCATATCGTCTATATCTCTTCAGCTTAGACAGCTAACAGCTCATCACTTGTCTTAATAAGGCTGGGTTGCACCATCTTACTTTAACTTTGACAAGCGTCAAAAATCTGTCAAACTTCATACAAAAATACCGGTTATCGTTAATAATTGCGATCGAAATTAGGTGGTGCAACTCAGCCCAAGTCAATTATCATTTATTCATTTGTTTTACGCTTCGAACTGGCACATAAGAAAGAAGTTTGGGTCATGAAGATATGACAAGCAGAAAAAAGTAACTGATCCTATTAAATTAGACCACAGAAAATGAACTCAATACATTAATTAGGTTGGTATGCCTAATCATACAATCGAAGCATCATACCGCAAATTCAAATTGTATATTCCAAAATGAGCTTCAAACTTTGGAAAACCCCACAACGGCCACAACATTTGAAAAGGTTATTGTCTATTGAGATAGCCACGAGCTGGTCACGGGTTATCCCTCGGGGATTTTCAAGGAGATTAGAATCTAAGTTTCTATGATAGCAGTAGTGTGTTATCTTTTAATCAGATCTCAAATCCAAATGTCACTTAACACTGATACACGATAACCTAATTTCTATTGTTTCGTATCATTTGTTCTACTAAAAGAACACTCATAATAGACCTACATGTTATAGTATGTTTTAAACAGCTTCTGTCACAACTCAAGGCACAGCTGATGTACTTGTATAACTTTTGTTCTAACCTAATAAATTTTTCTTCATCATAATCACATCGGAAAGGCCTGATGTTAGACTTCACTTAGTATTGTAACCTATGAGCTTCTGCATGACAATGGCTCATAGAGTCTAAGGCTGAGTTGCACCACCTAACTTTAACCGTAACTATAACGATAACCGGTGTTTTTGTATGGTGTTTGTTATAGTTGAAGTAAGACAGTGGAACCTAGTCTAACTGATACGAAAAAAACTTTACACGCCATTTAACCAAACATTTGTTGCGAAATTCGCGAAAAAAATCTAATTACAACTACATTGTGTCATAAATATTTATGATTCTTCAAAAATTCCGTAACATCAAGCAGGTCACAGTACTAATTGACGAAAAAATGGTTTGCCATAAACGCATGATTTGCTTCATTACTAAATCCAACCGGTTTGGGATTTGTATGAAACTGTAACTGGATATTAGAGCTCATAACAGCTGTCATAATTAATGAATAACACGTGAAAGCGTGTTTTAATGAGTATAAACTTATATGAAAGAACTTTATCGTCGAACTTAATTAAATCACGGTCCACATTTAAGCATTCTTAGGCTCATTTGCACCATTTTATTTTAACCGTAATAATGACAATAACCGGTGCTTTTTGTATGGATTTTAACAGTTTTTTGACGTTTGTCAAAGTTAAAGTAAGGTGGTGAAACTCAGCCTTAAAACTTTTTACATAATTATTATTCATTTTTGAAAAATCTCTTTTTTTCTTCTTCTCTTTGCTAACCTGTATCTGGCTGGCACTAGCTTTTGGATATTTATAGAAGAAGGTTTTCTATGAATGAAAAGGTTCTAATATTTTTCTGTGGGTCTAGAACACAGATCTGTGGTCTAGAAATATTGGACATGAGTAAAATGATCTACTTTCATACTTTCAAGTAAATCTGAATAAAATGCTTCTTCAAAAGATAGCAATGAACTTTTTTATCGTAATTTTGAAGTTTCATTCGATTACAACATAGCAAACACCGATAAACTCTCGTTCGGTAATCTGCAATTAAGAATTTAATGCATTTCAATTTCATGCGTTTCTTCCTCGATCGTTAAGTGTTTACCGCACGCAAGGTTGGTTGATCAGATTCAACATCATAGGCATCGTATTAATGAATCTCACAAACATTACTATGAGTCTCACAGTGCGCGTGGACGCACAAGGTGACACACGAACCAATCACAGAGCTCTATACAACGCTGTGCGTTCGATTTGCTGCTTCGCTTAAGGAAGCATCGTTTGTGAATACGGGTGTAAGTTCGTCGTCTTGCGTATGTTCGAATTGTTCGACTCCTTTTATCAAAAAGTCAAAGTAAAAATTCCTTAATTTGACTCTAATTAAAATAGTAGGGTTACAAAATCGACAAATTAAAAATTAGCTTTGCTCTCAAGAAACCTTTAAAACCAACATTTGCCAAGTGCTGAAAAGACAGGAGACTAGATTCTAACTAGGAGATTTGTCCTAAGGTATTAAAATGTTTTTTGTGCAACAAAATTTAACACCAATAGTGATTAACAGCCTTGAAATTTTTCTTACAACCGCAACCTAAAGAACTACTAATATACTGAGCCTAGGTCCGAGGTAGGATCTGTGATGTATAAGTAACTAGCTGACCCGGCGAACTTTGTTCCGCCTTAATGGCAATAAATAAGCAGACTTTTTTTTTTTAATTTCGAACGGGATAAAAAGTATCCTATGTCCTTCTCCTGGCTCTAAACTACCTCCCTGACAATTTTCAG